AGGTGAAAGTAATGCTGGCTCTCATGGTTGAGGTTGTGTGTTAACTTGGCTAGGTCATGATTCTCAGTGATTTGCCAATTATATCATGATACAATCTGCCAGATGCTTAATGATATAGTCCACTCTCCATTGTGTGATAAGATGTCATCTCCCATTTTCACATAATGTCACTTTCACACAACGAACCCAACTATGTTGGTGAGTGAGGAGTGGGTATATTTTATACATTTACGCAGATAATATTTTAAATGTGTACATATTAAAAACAAAGAAATTAATTCTTTTTAAAATGTCTAATAGTTATGAAAATAAAAATTGAACCTATATCCAATTGAATTTCAAAATGCATTTATACAATGAAATCATGTGCAAAGTTTCTGAATACTTCATAATCAATACTTAACACATCACCATTTTCATAACCCACAGGGATCCACAAAGAGGTGAACTCACAAAATTATCAGAAGAGGTTGTTATAATACATCTTTCCAGTGTTTTCTAATAGCAGAATGGCTTCTCGGATATGCCGTTTTCTATTTTTTACCAACCAGTTATATTAATAGTAACACGTGCTTCTACATTTCAATTAGGCTATAATCTAACAAAGAGAACAAAGTGGCTGATTTCTAAAAAAGGATTATAACTCACTTCTAACTAAAGTCGAGACATTAACTTTGTCCTCTATACATTTTTCTCTTAATTCAAAAGGCAAGTTCTGTACATCCTTTCCTTCACTTGTTTGGAAAGTACACAACATTCCTAAACAACCACTAGGTAACTGTAACCAGCAACCTCAATTGGTAAAAGAAGGTAGGACGCTGCCTTGACAACTGTGAGTCTTTTCCTTCAATACAACAAACAAGACCTGCTTATGATAAGCCACAGGAGGGGCGTAGGAAACTAGGGGATGTACAAAAGAGATTCGGTGCATGATCTAAACAGCATGTATTGTTCCAACAGAGGTAACTTGGAGGAAAGAGCAAGAACCAGAACCAGGCTGTGCATGGTTGCCTGTCTTCTGAGGAGAAATAAACCCGCTGTAGGCTACAGGAATCTAAGGGGCCTAGAGCCCTACAGCCAGGGATGGGTTAAGAAACCAGGAGCCAGGGTCTGGGACAGTGCAGGGCAGAGGCCAGCTCGGGTCACCGGGCGCGGTCCCCGGACCCGGGCAAGCGCCGCTTCCTCCCCAGTCAAACTGGCTGGGTGGCCTTCCGCTTCTCTGCCGCGGTCAGGCCTGCCCGCCAGGCCCGCTCCTCGCCGGCCGGCACCCCACGCCCAGTGCCCACCCAGCCCCGCCCGTCTCCGCGCCCCACTCCTCCGCTTACTTTCTGGGAGTCCATGACTACGGGTTGAGCCCACTGGGCTCGAAATCGCGCCGAAGAACCGTGTGATGAGACAGAGGGAGGTGGAACACGCCAAAACCGCTATCCGTGACCGCAGTTCCCCCGCTTGGTCTCCAACGCCGCAGCTTATGCCTCAGTCCACAGCGGCGCCGCCCGGCCCCTCCCCGTCCGCGCCCAGCCCTCGCCGCGCTGTTGTCGCGCGGCGGTTGCCAGGGTGAAAGGGCGGCGCGCAGAAGGGAGGGGTGGGGGTGGGGCCGCGAGAGAGAACCCCGCGCCTGCGCGCTACCGCCAGAGGGACCAGCGTGAGCCTTGGTGACGGTGCCTACGAGGCTACGGTCTGGAGGAGTGAGTTCAGTCCTTCGGGAACCTCTTTCTTTTATCCTTTCCACCTCAGCTTGCATGAGAGCCACAAGTCTTGGAATGGACCACTGATCATCCTGTAGCTTGAGCCTTGGTGAAGACGCGGGGAGAAAAGCTTGAGTCCCAGAGGTCTCGCCCTGTCCTCCTCCAAGCATCTGAGGCACACCTCCTCACATTGTCGTGGCCAGCCCCAGCTGCTCGGTGAAATGGAAAGAGCTGGCATAGAGATGTAGCAGAAACATAGGAAAGGGCTGTAAGTGGGACCTGGTGGAAACGTGGAAGACGGATCAGGGTGGCAGAACACGGACTCTGCAGCCTGATAAACCTTTCCCGGCGAGCCCGCCTGGACACTGTGCCTCCTTTGTAATTTTGAGCAAGTCACTCCCTGAACCTCAGTTTCACCTTTTGTTGTTGCGAGAGCTAAGTAACGTATTTGAAGTGCCCAGTACAAAGTTGGTTGGTGGCAATGTGCCCTGTAGTAAGTTCCATCTCATAGTGACCCTGTATATAGGGTTTCTGAGGAACCGAAAGCATTTACAGGACCAGAAAGCCTCATCTTTCTCCCGCAGAGCGGCTGATAGTTTTCAACTGCTGACTTTGTAGTTAGCAACCTAACGCATAATCCATTACATACCAGAGCAGTTATTGATGTTGTTAAGTGCCATGGAGTCGGTTCTGACTCCTAAGCATCCTGTATAGGGTTTCCTAGGAGGGGCTGGTGAGCTTGAACCACTGACCTGGCAGTTCAAACCAACCTTGCGGTCCATCACATTAACCCACAGAGTCGCTCCAGCAATTATTAGTGAGGAGTTATAATACCTGTTCAGTGTGGGGAAAAAAAGGGCAATACGGACATTCAAAAGTTTAGGAAGGCTTGCTTTTGGATAACTCTAGAAGCTCAGTAAAATTCTAGGAAGAAGTCACTTACGATCCATAAATGAAAGAGAAATCCAAGGGGCTTCAAAAAGTTTGTGGAACAATGTTGTTAAAAGATAATGGCATTTTTCCACGAACTTTTTGAAGCCTTTGTGCATGTATTGAGTGCCAGTTATATGAACTGAGAATTCAGCAGTGAAAAGGCACTGTCTTCATTGAGTTTACAACCTATTATGAAAATCTGACATTCCCCCCCCCCCCAAATATATATATATGTTGTTGTTAGGCGCCATCGAGTTGGTACTGACTCATAGTGACCTTAAGCACAGCAGAATGAAACACTGCCCGATCCTGGGCCAACCTCACTACTGTTGCCATGCTTGAGTCCATCGATGCTGCCACTTGGCCAATCCATCTCATTGGGCTTCTTCCTCTTTTTCTCTGACCCTCCACCTTACCAAACATGATAATCCTTCTCCAATGACTGGTCCCTCCTGACAATATGTCCAAAGTATGAGAGACGAAATTTGGCCATCTTGGCCTCTAAGGAGCACTCTGGCTGCACTTCTTCCAAAATGGATCTATTGGTTCTTTTGACAGCCCATGGCATTTTCTATATTCTCCTCCAACACAATAACTCAAAGGCATCAATTCTTCTACGGTCTTCCTTATTCACTGTCCAGCTTTTGCATTCATATGAGGTTATTGAAAATACCATGACGTGCGTCAGGTGCACCTTAGTCCTCAAGCTGACATCTTTGCTCTTAAACACTTTGAAAAGGTCTTGTGCAGAAGATTTGCCTAATGCAATACGTCATTTGATTTCTTGACTGCTTGAATGTTGATAGTTAATCCAAGAAGAATGAAGTCCTTGACAACTTCCATCTTTTCTCCGTTGATAAGAATGTTGTTTATTGGTCCAGTGGTGAGGACTTTTGTTTTCTTTACATTGAGATATAATCCATACCGAGGGCTGTACTCTTTGATCTTCATCAGTTAATGTTTTAAGTCCTCTTCACTTTGAGCAAGCAAGGCTGTATCATCTGCATATCGCAGGTTGTTAATGAGTCTTCCTCCTATTCTGATGCCACGTTTTTCTTCCTGTAACCCAGCTTCTTGGATTATTTGCTCAGCATACAGGTTGAATAATTATGGTGAAAGAATACAACCTTATTGCACACCTTTCTTAATTTTAAAACATTCAGTGTTCCCTTGTTCTGTTCGAACAACTGCTTCTTGGTCCAGGTACAGATTCCTCATGAGCACAATTAAGTGTTCCAGAATACTCATACTTCGCAATGTTGTCCATAGCTTGTCATGATCCACACAATCGAAAGCCTTTGAGTAGTCAATAAAGCACAGGTAAACATCTTTCTGATATTTTCTGCTCTCAGCCAAGATCCATCAGACATCAACAATGATATCCCTCGTTCCACGGCCTCTTCTGAATCCGGCTTGAACCTCTGGAAGTTCTCTGTCAATGTATGATTGTAGCCGTTTCTGAATTACCTTTAGTAAAACTTTACTCGCAAAGAGATTGTCAGATGATTTCCGCATTCCGTTGGGTCACCTCTCTTTGGAATATATATATATATATATAATTGTGCGATTGTTATAACCATCAAACCAGTTGCTCTCTAGTCAGCTGACTCATGGCAACTCCATGTGTTACAGAGTAGAATTTAGTTCTAAAGGGTCTTCACAGCTGTGATCTTTTAAAAGCAGATTGCCAGCCTTTCATCTGAGGCGCCTCTGAGTGGCTTGGAACCTTTTGGTTAGTAGTCTTAATTACTGGCTACGCCACTCAGGGACTAGTAATCATTACTGTTGCGTCAGTTCCAACTCATAGCAACCTCTGTCGAGTTTCTGAGGAGTGGTTGGTGGGTTTGAATCGTCAACTTTTTGGTTAGCAGTCCAGTGCGTATCTGTCAGTGCTACACCAGGATAGTTTTTATAGGAGTTATTAATAATATATGTGTATGTGTATAAAAGATATATATGTTAAGTGACATCAGATGGTTCCAACTCTTAGCAGCCTTGTATAGGATTTCTGAGGAGCTACTGGTGGGTTTGAACTGCCAACCTTGTGATTCCCAGTCCAGTACTGATCCTACAGCACGACACAAGGACTTCATATATATGTATATATTGTTGTTAAGTGCTGGTGAGTCTGTTCCAACCCATAGTGACCCTGTATAGGGTTTCCGAGGAGCAGCTGGTGAGCTTGAACTGCCAACATTGCAGTTCAAATGACTTTGAAGTCTAGCACATTAACCCACAGCACAACACCAGGACTGTAAGATAAACACTGACTTGATGATACTTAACAACAACCAGCATATATATGTATATGGTGCTATAGGATAAGGACTAGACAGCTAACCTCAATGTTGCTGGTTCAAACCCACCAGCTACTCTTTATACCCTATACAGGGTCACTGTACGTCAGACCAACTCAACAGCACTTAATAACAAATATACATATATACATATGTTGTTGTTGTTGTTAAGTGCCATCGAGTCGGTTCTGACCCATAGCGACTCTGAACAGGGTTTCCGAGGCTGTAAATCTTTACGGGAGCAGAAAGCCTCATCTTTCTCCCACAGAGCAGCTGGTAGTTTCGAACTGCTAACCTTGAGGTTCGAAGCCCGATTCGTAACCACTATATAAATATATTCCTAATGTGGCACTACAGGATAAGCACTGGACCGCAAGGTCAATTTGAACTGCAATTCAAACTCATCAGCCACTCCTATACAAGGTTGTAATGAGTGGAACCGACTTCACAGCAACCAACAACAATATATATTACATGAAAAACCCTGGTTGCACAGTGGGTTAAGCACTGGGTTGCTAACTGAAAGGCCAGCACTTAGAACCCACCAACCCCTTCATGGGAGAAAACTGTGACCATCTGCTTCTCTAGAGATTTACAGCCTTGGAAACTTATGGAGCAGTTTTACAGTCCTATAGAGTCAGAATTGACTTGAGGGTAGGGGTCTGCTTTTTGGGTGGTATATTACATGAATTGACACAGTGGCAGAAGCAATGGGCTCAAGCATAACATTGGGAGGCTAGTGCAGGACTGGACACTGTTTCGTTCTGTTGTACACAGTGTTGCTATGAGTCAGAACCAACTCGATGACACCTAACAACAACAACATCGGGTAAAAGAGCTCCAAGATTATTGAGAGGATTCTGTTTTATATAGGAAATCCAAGGAAGGTTGAAGGAGGCCTCTCACAATAGTGAGCTGAGTAAAGAGAGGGAGTGAGCCTTACAAAGATTTGGGGGATTCTGGTCAGGAAGAACAGCAGGTGCAAAGGCCCTGTGCAGGGCATGAGCTCTGTGTTTGAGAAACAGCATTCCTATTAGCAGTAGTTAACTCTTTGGATATATGGGTCTCCCTGACTAAACTGTGATTTCTTTAAAGGCAGAGATTACTTTTACACATTTCTGTATCTGTGACAACAGGACTTGTCACAAAGTATACACTCAACAAATCTTTCCCCCCCGTCAGACAGAATATATAAGATACGAGACAAAGGGCACAAAAGGAAAAACGAGTTTTGCTCAGTTTGGGTGTGTGGTGCTTGGCCAGGGTCCTCCGAGGTCCTGTGTGCACTTCGCCTGCCATTTGACAAGAGGAACAGCATATAGTCCTGCAGAGAGTGCCCCCTATCTTGCTGCCAAGGAAGAAGAGCCTCCATTCAAGCCTCTCCAATTCTGTGCCCAGCCACCATCCTACTGCTAAAGCCAAGAAGGTGAGAAAGTTTTCATCTGTGCTGAGGGAGCAATGCAACCTAGGGAGTGAGGAATATTAGAGGTCAAACAACCT